ATTTATTTCATCTTCTTCCATTATTACATTTTAGTATTTTACACAAATCCTATAACATATACAAAGCATATCAATATCTTTAGTTATGCATACATACAATTAATGTAAAATATATAATCACATATAACGCATATAATAATAATAACCACATAATCTAATTCATGACTTCATGCATATTATTCTAGGAAATAGACTCATCGCAAGTCCTATTTCCATTAAACAATACATGTCACTATTATGCACTCACCTGGCCTCACTAGTCAATTTCAATCTCTTATCTTTCCCCTTGATCGATCTTACTTGTCAATGATTTCGGAACTTGTTTAGGCTCTGAATCTACATAATTATACATTTTAAGACAATTATCAGATACCTACACCTTGTAATTTGATACTAACAACTTAAACGAACTTAATAAACTAATATTCACTTTTTCCCTCAGGGGTGTACCGATGCACTATAGGTGCATCAGTACCCAAAATAGCTTCGAAATATTGATGCATCGATGCACCCCTTACTGCATCGATGCACCTTCAAAATTTGTCTTGGTGCATCGGTTCACACTCATAGTGCATCGATACATTCCTGGCATTCGATGTTTCTTCTTTAAAGAGTGCATTGGTACACTTTGAATGTGTACCGATACACCTTGCCCAGAAATTACTCTTTAGGCACGATAATTCACTCTTTCATCTTCAAAACTTCATGGTTCATCCTCTTTTATAATCCTAACTTACATATACATGCTTAGATTCATTTTTATTCATTTATCTTGTCTTTAACCTTAATATCCTCTCCTCTTTATTAATTTCAAGAATCATACCAAATTTTCAACATGTTTTAAAACTCATTCTATCACTTCACATCTCTTAATTCAACCCTTGACAAGTCAAATTCAACTTCAAAATCTATTAACTCCTTCTATTTCAAAAATTCACTTAAAAACTCATTTTTCTTAATTTCTCATAACTTGTTAATCTTTGAGTTTTAAGCCACCTAAAGCTTTTCTTAATCTTTCTTAATATCCCAATAATCAAAAAAAGCTTTAAAACGAAAGAATTAACCAACTGAAGACCCACTTACCTTATACCATGCTTCACGGTGGAGAGGAGGAAGAAGAAGACTGAAGAATGCTCTGGAGAAATTATCTCCTTCCCACGTGCTTATTACCTTTTATAAAGGGAAATAAAAATCTTTCCTGAAAAAATGACCATAATACCCTTATTACTTTCAAACTTTGTTATTAAACCCAACATCAATACTTTTCATTTAAATCCCTAAACTTTCAATCTTTTCTGAGATTAGTCACTAAATTACCAAAAATTCTATTTTGGTCATTGATCCGATTTTTGGGATGTTACATTTCCCATTTATTTTTAAGTCTGATGTGAATTATAAAGGTCATAAGTAAGGCTTTATAACATCTCATTACTCTAAAATATGCATCTTACCAAGAACATCTACTCAACATGCTTAATCTCATCCATAAGTTATCTTGCATTTATAATTGATCCACTAAGGGTATGAAAGAGCTATGAGTGTATTACCTGGCCTCCTTGGTTGCTAAAACTTCTCTCAAATCAACTAAGAAATCACATTTCTTACCTCTAGCCTTTAAACTCTCTTCCACCTTTTAAACTAAAACAAAGCAAGAAAATGAATTACTACTCAACTATGGGTTAGATTAACTCAAATAAAACTCCTATAACTCAAATCTACCCAAAAATAACTTAAAAAACTTGATTTCTTTCAACTCCCAAAAACCTATTTTTTAAATCTGAACCCAAAACCTAAGATTTGGGGCTTGAAATGAAGCTTAATGGATGAGGATTAAGATTCTTACCTTGGTTTCTTCAAACTAGGCTTGAGATTCAAGAAGCTTATGCCTTTGGCTTACTCTTGGAGAGGAAAGGAAGAAGAGAGAAAAGAAGAAGAAGAAGAGGAAGATATTTTGGGAGAGATGGTTCACGTGAATTCTAGAAGAAATAAGGGGGTTTTATCCTTTAAAGCCACAGGGTGTAGTATCTATGTCTTCGTTTTCATTTGTTATATTTTCCATGAATTCTACTGTTTATACGTTTCTGTCATTGAAATTTATAAAGGCATAGAACTAGGGTAGTGGAGTAGGGTTGCCTTAGTTTGGGTTTTAACCCATTTGACTTTATTCCTTCTAGTAGCTTGCTTTCGCTGACTTTTGTGTATTCTTCTCTTCATGTTTCCTCTATTTAAATTTAACCGGGACTTACGTTTCTGTCTATAAGCAGAGATTTATACGCAGGAATTAATTGGAAGGGAAGTTTCTCTCAATTATGTATTTATTGACTTATCTATACATGCATTGTATTTTATCTTTATTTTTACTTTTCTTACTACCGAAGGTCTCTCAACCAGGCGTTGGGGGCAGCCTACTACCTTACCTTCCCCTAACCCCATTGCATATGGGAATAGAGTTTTGTTGTTGTTGTTGTATCCTTTAAAACCAATTATGATTAAATTGCTATTTTGATCTCTCTCCTTTAATCCTAATTTAAAATCATCACTTCTCTTATACTATTGGGCCAAACTTAAGCCCAATACCTTTATAAATTGATCTAAAAAATCTAATGGCCTCGACTTATAGGTTTCGGATTGACCCAAACTACTAATCCAGAATTTGGGGCACTACACAACAATCAAGTTAAAATTAAGTGTATCATTTAAAGAAAAGGAAGTAATCAAATTCCATGTATATCAACTCTGAAAAATTAGTTTGAATATTTTTTTCATGTGGCTTGAACCATATAGGAGTAAAAAAGGATTCATTATCAACTTTTTGACTGATATTAGTCTCGAGTTTGATCCATGAAAACTAGTTACATATAAATCAATTAATTAAAATGTTATAAATTTTATAAAATGTGTAAAAAATCAATGACTTTTTCAGCTACTCTATATTACTGGTAAACTGATCAACAACTATTTTCGTTAACACAACGATTTAATTTTATTATTGTTATTATTATTATTATTATTATTATTATTATTATTATTATTATTATTATTATTATTATTATTATTATTATTTATTATTATTATTGTAAAGACTTAATTGAATGTATTTTCTATAAAAATTCAATTGATATTTTTGTTTTTTATTTGAATTATTTTTACTCTTGAGCTTTACATTTATAAAAAATTCTTAATAATTATTTTCATCTTTCAAAGGACTAGACTAGGGGGCTTATTAAGAGAGTCAATCACGAGTTGAGCAGTGTTCAACTCGTGTTCGTTAAAAAAAATTTGTTGCTCAACTCGTTGCTCGTTAAAATTTTGTTCGACATGTGCTCGTTAAAAAAACTTGTTGCTCGACTCGTGCTCGTTAAGGTCGTTGCTCGCCTCGTTGCTCGTTAAGCTCACCTAAATTTTTATCTTATTTTTTAACTATAGGTAAAATCTAATAATATTATATAGAGCTTAATATAAACATAAATTAATAAATTTAACCAAAAAATGATTAAAATAGTGTATGCAACAAATAGAAAGTCTAAACTCCAAAATAACAATCCACAAATACATTAAAATAATAATTAGGGCTTGATTTTTAGGTGTAGTAAAATAATAATTATTAATTAACAATATATTTTTTATTTATTAGAAAATCAATAGATAAGTCATTTATCATCTTTTTGTTATCTATTAGTAAATTAGTAATTTTTTGAATGAAATAATTTTCTAAGATAAGTACTAAAATGTTATAAAAAAATTTAGCTAGCTGCTCGCGAACTTATCGAGTCGAGTTGGAGTTTGCTCGACTCAGTTCGTCAATGTCTCGTTGAACTCGAGTTCGAATCGAGTCAACCTAAATCAAACTTTTATTGAATTTTGACATAAGTAAGTTTAAACTGCTCAGGAGCTATTAAACTCATTAAGCATCCTAGACTAGACCTTCACGATTCAACTCTGGTTTTGGAAATAATTTTTTGAGTAAAAACAAGGAATTCAATTACGTCATCGGAATGAGAAATAAGAGGGGAATCGATTAAAAACAACAACAACGTACAAAGGGAAGGTTCAAAAATTCTGTAGGAAACAACCCATGCAGTTTCCCTCTACCCACAGTGTCGTAGGTCGTACTTGTACACTCCCAAACTCCTTTTTCCTTCGTAACCCATTGGATATTTTTTATTAAGTAAAAAATTATTATATTCTTAAATGGAACTCGTATAAAACAGAATAATATGAACAATCTTAATCACTTGACCAATTAACATATATCAGCTTATTTATTTATTTACTTTTTCTCAGATCATTTATTTTTTTAGTCGATAAATTATTAATACATCTAATAATAATCCTTATTTAATTTTATTATTGTTACTAAATATGATTTTCACTAACCCCATGACCAAAACCATGTAATACCCAAAGGTTGCTTCGTAGTGAAGTGGATGGCACAGAGTTAACACTTTTAAAACATGGATTGCATGGTAATGATGGGGAAGAGAATTAGCTATAACAAACAAAAATGAAGAAACCCTTGAAGCTCACGCTTTTCTCTTCGTCTTCTTCTTTTTCTTTATGCTGTTTTGTTTTCTTGATTGCTAGTTTACAAGTAGGTAGGGTTAAATGGAAGTCTATAGTCATTTTCTTGACTATTTTTTGGTGAGAGACAAAAGACAATGTGTATCTGATTATAGATATGTTGGGGCCAAGTTCTTGGGTGTTTCTTCTGTCAACCTCCATCCTTTATTCTCATTACAAATGCATGGGTCCATTGGCAGTGTCACACCCCAAAATTATTGAGGTTAATTAATGGATTAAAGTAAGTTAATTTGAGGACTAAATTATGAAATATTTAAAATAAAATTGATTGGAGTGGTTCATGGGTTTTGAAACCGTGTCATCATAAACCTTCCCCTTAGCTTTGTCATCTAGACTAAGTTACTGTAGCTGATGGGATTGGGTAAATATATATATGGTAGGGATTTTTTAATCCCAAAAATGGGAATCAAACCCCAAAGGTTTTCAGAAAACCCAACCCCGTCCTCAAGCCAGCGACCGCCGATTTGTCTGTTTCGGCTACCGTTGAGGTGTTTCGACATCAGCAAATGAACTGTCAGCCTTCCGCAACCTAACCCCATTCGTTTGCTCATCAAAATCAGCCACCGTTTGGCCTGTTTCAAGATTAGTAGTCATTCAAAACCCCTCACCGCTCCTTTGTCTCCGCTCGTCTGTGAACGACACCGACCACCCCCGACGAAGCACCATCGAAGCTCGATCAAAACACACCCACCAGATCATCGGAAGCGGTCATCGTTCTCCGTAGGGAGCCCCCGATAGCTTCAATGGAAAAATGATATAACCCCAACGTTTTTCATGATTCTGGCCACCACGATCGTCGATTCATCAAACCGCCTCCCTCATTGAGTTCCCGGTGTTCTTCCGACCAAAACCTGGTCAGGCTCGTCGCTCACCGTCGTGGCAATATCCGTTTGCCATTAAGGGTAAGTCGGTTTATCTTTTCATTGGTTTTACACCGTTTTGGCTAATTATTGATGTTGATTTGGATCGATTATGGTGATTGTTGAAGCAGGGAGTAATCGGCCAATCGAAACAGCCCTCGCAATCACCGCATGCGCCACCACGCGCCGGCAGTTCGTGTGGGGCTCTTCAACGGTCCAGGAAACTTCTGGAACCGGTCCAATTAGCTTGAATAGGCCCGAACTGGGTCTGTTTAACCCAACCGAATCAACTTGGTCCGAGTTAACCCGTTTAAGTTAACTCGTCTGAGTCAACCAGTCTGAGTCAACCCGTTTACTTTGACCAAAAAGTTAAAAAAAATTATAAAAAAAAACATATTTTATATTTTTTCGACGTCCTGAGTCCGAATCCGAAGTCTGTTTTGTCAAATTCACACCCAGTAAGTCATTTTCAGTGATTTATCTTTGGATTCATGTTGGTTTTTCGATTAAGTTCAGTTTCTGATGTAAATTCGGGTTCTATGTATCCAAGGAATTATTGGACGTTGAATTCAAGTTCGAGAGTGATCAAATGGAGTTTAAATGGTCAATCGATATGGCACAAAAACTGAGGTAATACTCTACTACCTTTTGTATTCTTTCCGGAACACATTGATAATTGGTAAATGCATGAATGGAAATAATTGGTCCATGAGGTGTATTTAAATTATCATTGGACTTAAACTGAATATGGAATAACGGCAGAACACTGTAGAAGACTCAGACTGCTCGCAAAAGAAATTGGTAGACTGATCGAAAATAATTTTAAGTCCATGAATTATGTAATAATAAATTGATCTCAGAATCCAAAATCCTAATTTATTTATTTAAAGGTTAAATACGGGAAATATGTGATTATGAAATTACAAAAATACCCTTATGAGGTAAAAATAACCAAAATACCCTTGAAGTGTAAAATGGCTATATTATATGACCAAGTTGAACTAAGTGGAAGTATTGTATGTATTCGAATTGTGGAAACAATTGAATTACTATGGAAACTCCAAAGTGACCGGGATAAACTTGACAACTAAATGACCTAAGTACTCTTGATGACATAGAATTAAGCGAATGACTTGGATAAGTCTGGAACCTTGATGAACTTATATGTTGTACGTCCATAAGGGTTTTAAACCACGGAATCATCATGTCGACATTTCAGAATACCGTTGCAACACATAAATGAAATAAATACCATTGGAATACCTGTTCGTCTCCCTAAGAACCATTCAACGACGATTCTGATATTGATCAGTTCAGCTAGTGCATTCAGTGTTAAGAAATGAATAATAGTGAAGTATCACGATACGAATGATTGACAAGTATCGTAGTGTTGGGTTTGTAGTTCAAATGGGACTTGAAATCCTGATAATTCAAAATTATATGATCTTAAAATCTCAAATAACTCTGAACGAATATATCTCTTAAATTACCAGAAAAGGTACATAGGTTTGGATTGAAAATAATTTACTGAAATATCATCGAGTTATGAAATATTAAAATAACTCTGATATACAAATGACTGAAATACCACTGAACCCCAAAAGAATTAAAATACTTGGAACTTCAAGATGACTGAAGTAACCTTGAGTACGAAAATGACCTAAATACCTTCATGACCTATAAATAAGTGAACGTTATTGGACAATTTTGGAAACACCGAGAAAACCTAATTATTGTATCGCTCCTAAAGGTTTTGAAGTACGACTCAAGTATGTTGGTCATCTTGAAGACTGTTGTAATTCATAAATAAAACAAATACCATAGGAATACGTAGAGTCCTCAAGATCCGTTCTACGATGGTTCTGAAGATGTCCAGTTCGAGTTGACCTGATATCCTAATAAATTGACATGAATCTTGAATATCATGAATCATCGTTTCACCCTTATTAGATTAAGCCGCTAGGAATACAATAGAAATCGTAATGTCTAAAATACCCTTGCTGACCTGAAAAATGGAATCACTCTCAGTAAATCTCAATCTAGTACTATGATGTAAAGGTTCCTGAACACCTTCCTGATGCACCTAAATCATAAAGAGATCCTAAAGTATCAACTATAAATATCTAATAGATCCGTTAGTAATCTATCCCTTTTAAAAGGGCCTCGATCCTGATATCCGATAAAATTACATAAGTTTCATGTTTTCCCTTTCTTGATAACTACCAAGTGCCTCTGAAAGATACTTGGATCCTATAGTGTGTTTCTCATGTACTATATGACTGTTTTATATGTTTTGAAATATGTTTCACTGAAATTTATTGATTTACTGGCTTATGAACCATGGCTACATGGTATGTGTTCTCTGATTACGATTTTCATTGAAAAATATGATTATTACTTATTTATGGAATCATGGAATTTACTGGTTTATGAACTATGGTTTCATGTTTTCACTGGTTATTACTTGAAATGTTTTATTGGGACATTATCTGGGTATGCTGAAGGTTCAGCTCTGATCAAGCTGGTAAATCCTTACGGACCTAAGGTGACCCTTGGGTAGGCTCTGAGCCCCCGAGAAACTTTCTTGGGTAGGCTCTCAGGCCTCAAGGCACTCCATTGGGTTAATCATGGGACCACATATGATGTACGGGTGGAGGGAAATTATATGGTTTATTTCATGGTCACGTTTACGAGATTTTACAAGATCACGATCCATATATTACGATTTACTGTTAAATTGATTTCTATTGGATACTGTATGGTAGGATTCTAGAGTATGAAGGTTCAGCTCTGATCAAGCTGGTAAATATTTATGAACCTAAAGTGACCCTTAGGTAGGCTCTGAGGCCACAAAAAACTTTCTTGGGTAGGCTCTCGGGCCCCAAGGCATTCCCTTAGGGTAGATCCCTTTGCTGTATGCTTAGGGTAAGTCCTTATAGATGCAGTTATGGGGAACTGCATAATGGTGTTCGGTTGGAGGGTTCTAATATGGTTTTAAAAATATGATTTAAATTGTTACTATTTTAAAAATTTTATATCGTTTTCACTGGTTTTGGTTGGAACACACTAGACGTCCTATTATGATATCCTGAAATTATGGTACTCTGAATGTTTCCTATAAAATGAAATCTTAATGGCTTTTACTTGATGAATTACTAGTGGAATCGCAGCTCATCCTGAAAACCTGTAGACATCTGAAACAACAAGAAAATGTTATGACTTTCCATTTATTTGCATGTTCTTCAGCATCATCTGGTAGTTTTCTATTACTGAGCTTCCCAAAGCTCACTCTTTTACTCACCATTTCAAGTTAAAAAGATCAAACCAGTGCAACTATTGACATCAGTAAAGGAGTTCCATCGGCATTGCTTGCGGAGTACGATGCATGTGATTAAGGGCATGTAGGTTGTATTTTGTATTTATAAATTGTTTTATGATTTTAAGCATTTTAACAAAATTTTTAATTTTCTGAGATTTTTATGGTGGGTCGCTCCGGTGACCCTAATGTTACACTTCAGATCATATCAGGTCACCCTCATCGGTCTATGGGTGTTACAATGAATGTCTCAATTCAATAAAAAATGTAAAATAGGCAGCTGTGTGGGGCACTGCAAATATCTGATCTAATCATCTTCAATCCATGGAATGGGTTAAGATTCATACTATTTGAGGTGGATTGGATTTCTACTTGATAGTCATTTCAAGTCAAATAGATTCTTAACCAATTGGGTGAGCTTAATAATAAAAAAAAGTATTGTTCTTTTTGGAGATCAAGTTCTAGAAATTACTATACAATATGTGTGGGTGTTTTCAATGACTGAAAACATTTTTTAAATCGATATTAAAAAGTCAAATAGATTCTTGACCATCTAACCCTTCACACCCACCTACATATGCCATATATGCACACATTAGGGAAATCAAAAAATTTGTTATGAAAAACAAAAGGGTAAATTGCATTATAGTAATTTAAATGTTAGTGTTTCATTTTGTCTTAGTTAGAAAATAAGTACTCAAACTATATTGTTTTTTTCTAAATAGGTGTCCAAACTTTTTATTTATTTATTCAGGTGTCTAACGTTATAATTATTACCACTTAAGGTGTTTTATCCGTAACGACCATTAAAATATCCCGTTAAGTGACACATGTCATATTTATATTTTTTTTGAAAATTTACTTTTTTAAAAAAACATAAAATTAATATTTAAAAACCCTTAAAAAATTTAAAATCTAAAAAATAACCCTAAATTCTTAAAATCTCTTATTCTAGTCCCCTTTACTCCAACCGCCAGTCATCTCTAGACACCCATCTGTCGGACACCCATAGGTCGTCGACCACCCACTGACCTATCATAACCCTTGTTATCATCTCAAAAATCAAAAATCTCAAATCTTTGCACTTCAATCTCTAATCCTTTAAATCTCTTTGATCAAACATGATAATTGGTCGTTTAGTCGACTATGGTAGCTGACCATTTGGCCATTTGATCGGCCGTCTAGCCTTTGATCGTTTGGCCATGGAAAAGCGAAAAGCAAGCAGGGGAGGGGAGAGGGGGATCTGGGTTGGGGAAGGGTTTTTTTTAATAATTTTTTTTTACTTTTTTAAAAACAAAAGTTTTAAAATTTTATAAATGTGACAGGTATTACTTAACAAGGTACATATGCTTGTGAGAAGGAGGATAAGTCACAAAAAGCTTTTTCATTTCTAATACTAACATTATAAAGTGAAGAAAGTGAGTTTTTTATAGTTGAAATAAAATGAATTGTATTTTTAGTTGTTTTATTAATTCTTTCTTGATTTGTTTCATTATTGTGAATGAATTTCTCAATCATTTTTTTGTTGATTCAAGAAAAAGTTGTGTATTGGTTCTTGGAATATTAATGTGGTATGTATAGCCAAGGCACCTAAAGTGATAACGTTTGTAACTTTTGTAACTTAGGCACATGGATGATTCGAAGAAAAAAACTTTGGGAACCTATTTAAGAAAAATGATATAGTTTGAACATTTATTTTTTAATTAAGACTTTCGCTTTTAGTGGGTTGAAAAAAAATTGATTTTTTTTTAAATTTTAATAATTTTTATATTTGATATTATTGTAAAAAAAACATTGTGAGAAGTTGTCTATTTTAGACTTATGTTGGACAGTCTAATTGGTTGGGAAAGATGAAAAATAAATGGGGATATTGTGATAATATTATATCTAAAAATACTTTTCTAAAAGTTAAAATATTTTTTAATTTTTGTGTTTGGGTTAAAAAATTGATTTGAAAAATACTTTTAGATTTGATATTTTATTGTTGTTGGTTCAAAAATGTTTTTTTGGAAAGTATTTTTTTCAAGAATGTTGGATAGAAGTGTGGTTTGTTA